TTCTCAAGACTTGTTGGCTTGGAGTTTCTTTCTGACTCTCATTGAACCCATGTTACTAGCATTTTAAATAATTATCAGCTGAATGTCTGAAAATAACCCCAAGTTTTATTATCAACAAATGCAGATCTGAAAATCAACCTTCTTTGGGAGATTGTTTGACAGACTTAAAGATCTGGAATCTTGAATTTTAATTTAATTTTTAATTTGGACTTATTGAGTAAATATATTGAATAGTATTTCTCATTTCTAACAAGAATTCAACCATTTCTGACTTACATCTGGCCGAGATCTGTCCACAACTAACTATTTTTGGTTGTCAGACTGTAGAAAATTCAGACTTTGTTTTCCTCAAATTTTACCTGAAGTTTTTGTTTGATGTAGACAATGCCTTTAAGTCTAGATTGTGAGTCTGTGTGGTACAGGAATGATAAAACACAATGTACCAGTTGTCATACAGTCTATAGACATAACATCTTCATCATTATGTTGGCAACCCAGGTATTTTTCTTCCCTGTCATCCTTGACATATCCTAGTTTCTTTTAGCACATCTTCAAAGACAAAGATAAAAAATGTTTCATATACAACTTAAGGCTGCACTTCTTTGACTGGTCTATGTACTGTCTTGAAGACGTTTCAACAGAATACCTCCCATTCTTAAAAGAAACTTGTGTACAGGTATATTTCTAGATCTAAAGGCTGTACATTTACTATGGTGCCATTCTTTGTGTGAGATGTTGATACTTGTAGCATTATTGTATCTTCCTAGTAGTAGAAAGGTAGTTGAAAAAAATATTGCTCTGGAAATCAAAATGAATTGATATAAAGAGATATAGTCGATCAAGATATTTTTGAAATCCTTTTCAAAATATTAACATGTTCACAGATCTTATAGTTCATGTTTATTACAAATATGACAAGAATTTTTGTAAAAGGAAACAAACTTTGTAACTGTTCTTCTCTTTTTTATCTCACTCATTGTGTAAAAGCCAAAATTGACTATGAAATAGCTTTTTGCACTTGTGAGATTTTTCCAATTTGTTTAAAAGATTATATATTACAGGAAGCCATACATTGAACGTTATTTTGGCTTTACATAAGATAATAGTTTGAACAGGAAGGAAGTGATAGAACTGTATTCAATATGGCGATCAGCAATATTTCTGATTTAACCTTTATTATATAAGAATGATGACTTCTGACTATTTCCTCTAGCAAGGTCTTTATACCGGAGACATAAACAATATACATCTGTAGGTCATGTCTTCTATTATATAACATATGGCATCGTTTATTCTTACCCCTCACTGCGACTCTATTACAAATTTCAAACACATATTTCACAAAGCTTTCAATAACTTAAGTACATCTGAATCAGCAGAAAAACTGAATGAGCTCAGCTGTTCTGTGAATTTTATAATAAATTTTGTTTATGAATTTAGGAAGGAACTGACCTTGTTTCATTGTATTGTCATGATTTTCAAGAAACTTTTTTGTCTACCAGATCCAAATTTGGTTCAATTCATCAGGTTGCTTTTATATTTCTTAAAAAAGATTTGTATTCTTTTGACAGTAGAACATATGCATGATTTAAACTTATAAACTTACAATTATTCTGATCAAAGGATAAGCTTACCTATGAAATATTTTACATGATCAAATTGCCTGGTATGATGTATTTGAATCTGACATTGTAGTCATTAAATCAAATCTATATTTTTGTGCATTAGAATGAATGAGCTCTGTAGTAATTAAAACTGATATATGAGTAAAACAAGCATTGAAGTTAGATGTAAGTGGTCAAAAATGGGGTGGGGTGGGAAGCAAAATTAAGAATGTACTACAGGCCAATTGAAATACACTTCAGGTCTTTTTTGGCTCATTTAAAAAAAGCTCCTGTATATTTATATAAACTATAATTTTGGGGGATATCACGGTACATAGTTGATCAAAGAGATGACTTTTCAAGTGCTCTGATTGCCCTGATCTTGTGAAGAGTATCCAATATAAAAGGTTAGAATACAGGTGTTGATATCTGGTTGTTTATATGTTAAATTGTTATGTTTATTATTTATAACTGATGATAATATCAGATGCTCCATTAAACACTATATAAAGGTGATGTTTAGTACATCTAAAAAGGAGATAAGATTGAACTGAATGTAACTAGACTGCCCTGGGTTGAAAGTTGTTATGGTTTTGTCTTCTAAACCAGTCTCATGGTAACACTTCAAAGCTTGAAAGGATGCAATTCCATTGAACTACAAGAATGAAATCAGAAACTTTTGCCTCTTGCATGTAGTTAACTTCTTAAAAATCTGACAGTAAATATCACCACTGCAGAAATATCAACCTATCAGTGTTTTTTAACCTATTGTTTACAATTATGGGACTGATAATGTTGCTGATAATAAGATCCAGGATTGATAGTTTTCTGCAGAAAATAGTTCATGGTTATGAAAGGAAATCATCTGCTAAATTTCAAATATGAAACCATCCATCAGGTTCATAGCAGTTGGAAGTAAAACTCCTTTTCATGTCAGGAATATTGACAGAAAGAAGAAGCTTTTTATCTGTGATCTAGAAATGCACCAAAGCCTTCTGTTGTGTTGATGTAGTGTAAAATTGTTTGTCTACAAGATGTGGGTTAATGCAGGTCATTTGAACGGTTTGCTGTTATACATCAACTTTACACATGGTTTTCAAACTTCATTAGTTGATTTATTATGTGGAAAATAACAGTAAATATGGTCTCTTTAATTATTGTGTGGCTAATAACAGTAGTTATGGGCTCTTGAAGTTCCAGGTGGAGTGTATATTGATAGGTTGTTTTTATTAGTAGAAGATAAACATTGACTCTGCTAATTATATGCTTATTACTTTACCCTATAACACTTCCATATGGCTTAAAGATACAGTTCCTGCAAATTTTAGTATAAGATGGTGAAGAGAACATTTTCTCATAAAAGTACTGGCTTAAGTTGCAAAGTACAGATTTATGATAAAAACAGTGCAATTTAAAGGTTTTGAAACAACCATGTTGATAATAAGGCGTGTCATTTCTTTTGAAATATGAGTATGTATTTGAGTCACTTTGGCTCACTCCATCTTACATCCAATCTGCTCTATGTACAGCTCTTGATGTTATGATTTGTGTTTTTTGTTCAGTCTACTACAATTGTATTCCTTGATCTGACAAAATTCCTTTTTGAATCGTGTTCAGTTAGATTTTGAGTCTCAAGATATCAATTATAGTAATATTTTAATAATGAATATCCTAAATTCCTCTCATATAGAAAAGAAATCTTTTATTGAACAGAGCATTGGATTGGTTTGATATCATGTCGCCCTGAACAGGAGATTTATAACTATTTAATCAGATCATGGATAGCAAGTGAAGTGAAATGACAAATGAAAATTTTTAGATTTGTTTTTTATCAAAATTGTCCTGCATTAAACCTGTATGCTGTTATGATTAAAAGATAATAAGTTTGATCGTATTGAACCTGGTAGAAGTGTAGTAATTAAGTTATGACGTGGGTAGCAATATATGGTAGGTACTGTAGACTAACTAATGATCAACAACCAACCTCTTCTCATTCATCATCATTATATTCTCTATTTACTTACTTTATAACATAGGTCTACTTTACTGGTCTAATTAACTGTACTAAAACAGTTTATACCAAATAACAGACAATATCAGTCCTTACATGTAAATATCAGATGTAAAATTTCCTATGTTTTCTGTGGTACATGAAGTTTATATATGACAAAAGCTGTCAATTGATCTCAAGTTTTTATTGATCTTTGAACAAAACAGATCAGATCAAAAAATTCTTGAGAGACAGTTGTCCCTCACATCTTCTGTCTCAAATCATAGGTTTGTTTTCTGAATGACCTTTTCATTTGACAATGGTGCAAATTTGCAGATTTTATGTCGTATCTTGTAAGTCGGATTTTAATGAGTACATGATTTGGTACATCTGGTTGAAATAAAATAAGCTCTTCCTAATTAGATAGCCATAGGTGTTCATTGCTTATAGTTTGAAATTATCATGCCTAGTATCTGGCTGTGGGTCGATTACTAGTAGTCTGAGACTATGTGTGCTACAGGCTGAGCACGTTAAAGATCCTTCATCAGTTGGAAATCGAAAAGGCAAATGCCGCTGTCATGGCAAAATTTACCTCATTGCACTCTGCATGGCGTTGCCCATCTTCATTAGCTCGCAAGGTGCAGAAAAGTAGGATGTAAAACTCCATTCATTTCATTTCTGCTAGTTCTATATATGGCCTCTGATAGTTCTGTATACAGCTTCTGATAGTTCTTTATTATGTAGTTAATTGAAAGGTTAGGTGAGGGTCTATGTTGCTGGTACTTGAAAAGTAATCCTTTTTTATAGAGCCAATTTCTATTAGGAATTGTGTGTGGTACACAGTTGGATATAAGAGTAGAAAATAAACAGTTTCCCAGTGGGTTTAAGATGATGTTGTTTTTATTGGAAAGTTTCCTCTCCCAGAAGATCTTCAGACTGTTATGATGGTACTAAAGAATGACCTTGGCCTTTAATATCAGGCCAGCACATTGAGAATAATCTATAACATGATAAACTGAGATTAAATTGTATCTTATTAAAGCTGTTGGATTTGTAGGAGATAACTGCCAATAATGGTGGATAAACCTACTTCAGTTTATGTTGTTTCATTGATTATAAACTAATTCCTGAATGTATATTGATATACTACAAATAGTATGAACAAAGATCTGCTTTTGTAGCTCTACCCATGGGTGTATTTTTATCTTCAAGGCTTTCAAGGGCTTAGGGGACAGATTGCAAAGGTGCTGGAAACAGCAAACTGACTCCCACAAACAAATTCATTGAGCACTTACTGTAGAAAAATTATGATGTTTCAGTTAAATTCCAAATTATTGGACACATAGCAAACAGATTTGCACCAAATTTGATATATGATTTAAATGTGTATATTTTGTATATTTCAGGGAATCCAGTATCTGCTTGAACATGGTTTATTACAAAATATACCTGAGGATGTGGCACAATTCCTATTTCAAGGTGAAGGTCTTAATAAAACAGCCATTGGGGATTACCTAGGAGAAAAGTAAGTCTTTTAACCAATTTATTGCTTCATTTTAACGACATCACTCAGTCTGTGTTTTTCTGTCGTTCACTTCAATTTCTTTCGTGAGTGTTAGCCATTGGAAAGCATTCATACCCATACATTCCACACAAGGATATTAAGATCCATAACAGACGCAATTAAGTTAAATGATAGCCTTGCAGAGCAAGCATGATATAGCTCATTAAGAAAGTCATTTAGACTGAAAGAATTACCAATTGGTCAGAACCATGATGAACTTTCAGTATCATGTTTTCAAATTAGTGGATATACATATTTTCTGAGAGGTACAACATGTTCTATACGAGTAAAGTTGATATGCCTCATTTTGAATGTCTGAAATTAACAAATGTTACCCCCAACCATTTAATCAAATGGTTCAAGAGATATGGGTAGCAAGAAACAGTATTTTCTTTGAAATTCATATCTTTACAAAGGTTGACCCAATTGGCTGGTCTTGGCCACATCATTTCCTACAAAAGCTCAGAATTTGGGGAATTCAGTAAATTGTTGTTTATTTGTGGATTTTGAATGGTTAGTGTTATGATCTAAAACCTCACAGTCTCTAGTTATTGTGTAAACAAAGTAGCTGTAGTGGTAACATTTACACTTTTAATCTGGTACAATGTTGGTCTGGTCAGTTAAAGGGATTGTTAAGAGTTTTCCTAGTCTTTGTATGAGTATCGATGAATTGTAGTTATCCTTTGCATCAATCAGATTGCCTCTTAAAATAACTATCCCTTTCACTTAGCTAGACACACTTTTATAACAGTTAATAAGGAAAAAAGCCCAAGATTAGATCAAATCTAGAAAAAATAGAGCTGAAATTGTCAATTGAGAAATTAGAAAAAAAAGGATGCTTAGTATCAGTTTAATTTCATGGTAAATTTACTGCTAGACTAACATAATGAATAAAATAAAAACATCTCCCGCTGTTAGTATCCTTGTCTCATAGCATCTTCGTAGATCATGGGAAATTTTCTTTGAGAAATTCTTAGATAATTCTCTCTGATGCCATGAACATTTCAGATTACACGACTGTCATGATTTCATGAAATAGGTGGTCTGAATAGCTTGATCTTAAGCAGGAAAGTATGCCATTAAAGAACCAGTTAGAAGCAGCCATGATTATAATTATAATAATGATATAGATCAAATATCTATGTTGTAATATCATGAAATGGAGTGACAATTTGCAACCGTCTATCATCTATTGAAATCATGTGTTTCCTTAGCCAAGATGTAGATCAGTATTGAATGTCACTAAATGAGGTAGCTAAAATGAAAGAGTCTAAGACTGGTATTATGGGAAGGTGGTGAATATTTTTGAATAGATGATTTCTATAGATGATTTTTAACAGAAAAGAAGCTTAAAAGAACATTCATTGTATGTCAAAGATATAGATCAGGTATTAAAAAAGTAAGGCTTAAATAAAAGAGTCTTAGACTCAGATCTGTGGGAAGGTGATCTTGATGATTCTATCTTTCTAATAATTAACAGGAAATTATGCCGCCAATGACTTCCTTCATTTGGATAGTCTTAATCGAAAACAGTTTGAAAGCTGAAGGTCAAGAATAATTCTTTAGATTTCCTACAATGATTTCTTCACATCTAATTTCCATTGTTGATTTTACTTCAAGTCTTTTTGGAATTGATTATAAGGAAGCTCTGTTGTTTTTCTGATATTTTTCTCATTGTTATGTTAATTTGGTTTATATCAAGATGGATTCAAGGATATAAGCAATTGATATCCAACTATACAGAACTCAATATGCTTTAAAAGTAAGGTTTCTAAACATTTTTTGTGTATCAGGGACACTGATAGCTTGATGGTTAAGGTTGGTTGGTTGGTAGTTGGATTGGTTCAAATTGGATGATTCTGTGTAGTTGGTTTGGTTGTTGATACTTCTTAAAATCTGGTCGAATCGAATGACATGGCAGTGAAACTTGGCCCTGGATGGTGTGGCGTGAGTTACTCGATCTCCTTCATTCTACCAAACTCGTTCTGATCATGGTAATTCTTGTTGATTGGTAGTCGAATGGTATTGGTTGGTTTGGTTTGGTTAGATTATATGATAACTGTTGGAAAACTGGAAGACCTTGAGAGCTATAATACAAAACTAACAGGAACAAGGCTCACATTTTTATTCACATAAAGCGCAAAAATATCCCTACTGATTTTAGAAAAACAGGAACATTGTGAAATTAAGAAGGGTATATTTAACCTAACATGTGTTTGACATACATTACCATCATTTAAACTGGGATGAAATAGGAACTCTACAATTACCATAATATAGTTTATACAATTATTCTATAATAATAAATATTGGTGAAACTTACAGATCATATTTCTTAACTCAGAGTTATTCCATTCATATCTTTATAGTAATACATATCTTTATTTTTCTATGCTCTCTTTGGCACATATTTGGCTCATACAAACATTTCTACAAATATTTTGAGTTATTTGAAGTATGCTATGAAAATTGCAAACATACACACATAAACATATAGCTATTTTGATTTTATGAAAGGAATGAAGAGTTTAAAAACTCAGATGCAGAGTGGCATGAGGCGTTCCAGAAAGAATGATTATGTGTTGCTCTGTGACCATAACTTAACACAGTAGAGTTTAGAAATTGTGTTAAACAGAATGATATACTGTAAAAGTTGTAATAGGAAATAATGTTTGTTGAATTATCACTTATCATATCTGAAGAAGTCATGAAGTTATGAGTAAAAGGAAAGATATGTTGTTTTGATGGTTCCTTGATATGCATAGATATCTATACTCGCCTACAGTCGAAAAAAAAATTTGATCTGCTCTAGATGGTTAAAACAGTTATGTATTTATTACAGATTGTAAAAAAGTAATGAATCATGATTATTAGATTTGCATGAATAAATCATATTACTCTAACACCTGTTAGTTATAATCAACACAAACTTTTAATATTTACATAATTATTCTTCACTTATTATTAATAATATATTACATTATTATTATATTAAACAACTATACCATGAAGAATTGTTTATACAGGTTGCTGTGTGACGTAAACAGGGGTTATGTAGCACAGTTGGTTTGATGGTTTTGGGTTCTAATCTCAGCCGGCGTGTGGAAGGCTGGTGATCTTAAACTACGTTATTCCTGTAAACCCAGCTGTAGATGGGTACAGATCTTCCTGAAAAGATCAATGCTAAGAGGTTTGACCAAAGACCAGCTGGTAGAAAAGATCTTTGTGATGCTTAGTAGTTATCTTTATAAAAATTAGTTCTTTCTTTTTAAACACTTGAAAATGAGATTGTCAGTCATTTATATGAAAGTCTGGTGCTCCTGAATTATGCAGTATTTAGTCTTTTTACCTTGTGATTGTTAAGCTATAGCTTACTTAGATCAGGCTGTTTGTTGCTGGTGACAGAGTGCTAAGGAAATAAGAAAGAAAAGACCTAATGACAAACCCAGTAGATACAACATTAGCTCTTTTTGTATCTATTATCAATAATATGTACATGTACTTTTGAATTCAAGTACCTCAAAGACTTGACTGTCAGTTTGCCTAATATCTTATCTGATATAATTCATAAAGAATATTTTAAGGGATTCGGTCATGTGATTTACCTGCTAATAGAAACTTACAGATATTCATGGCTCTTTCAGAACTTTTTATGTAGATTGGGCATCAATTTGCACATTCTAATTTACAGTCAATGTAAGATTTGATGACAAAATCTAGTTTCCCAAACCTTCACTGTAATTCTTGGAAATATGTTCAACAGCTGATCAGATTGTTTAATGAATTTACATGATGATATCCCTTTAATAAAGGTTGTTATCAATGTAATTAATGTTTTAATGAGTTATATGATAAAGGAGGATTGTTGGCAAACACTGAATAGAACCACATGTCATATCTTCTATCTGCTGAATCATACAAATATCATATTATCTCATTAGTAATTAGTCAAATGAGTGTTAGAACTTCCAGATTGGCACAGCTGTGTTTCAATAAGTGTTATTAGCACTGTACTCTGTTTCTGAATGTTTTTATACAGTCATATGAAATGTGGAGCGTATATTGTTGTCCACAATATCTATCTGGTCTGTCCACATTTGCTCATATGTAAACACTCTAGAAGGCACAATTCTTGATGGATTTTAAGTGTTTCTACAATGCCCTGTTTCTGAGAGTTTTTAAGACTTAGAACACTCACTTGAAACACAAGAAAATCATGGAAGTTTTACAAGTCAACACCTAGTCTATGAAAGTACTGGTTACCCTAATTACTACCAACTGAGCTTATTTACTACCATTTGAGAGGGATTTGATGATAGAGCAATAATGGTTCATGATAATACAAGAAACAAAATTTTCAGGTTTCAAGAAACTCATAGCTCATAGCTTTTAGCTTTCAAATTTTGTTGACAAACAAGCATTATTGTCCATTATTCCTAGATCAAATTCAGACAAGTTTTAAATCTAATTTAGCGGGGGTAGGAAGGGCTTACAACATAAAATTTGATGATTAAGTTAAGACTTTCCCAGCTACTGAGAGAGATTAGTGTCAGTTTAGCTCAGTGAAAGTTTATCAATAAAGATTAGAATTAAACTATGTTTTTATTCTAATGTCTATATTTAATAAGTTGTTTATTGATGAAATACAGATTAATGTTAATGTTACGAGAATTACATTTTTATAATAGACTCTGCATGTTCGGAATAAAAAACAGTCCACAAAAACATACAGATTAAAGACCAGGATATTTTCTCATGAGTAGGATTGAGAATTGCGTAATAAACTGTTTTTTTCCCTAATAAATAAATAGAATCACATTGGGTAATAGTGAACTTTAGAAGATTATGGTAATTCGGTCCAATAATGTATCGAAATTTATCATCAGTTGAAGAAGTATGTTCAGAGAGACCACCAATTGGTAAAGTTGATAATCTTAAACTGATACTGATTCATATGAATTGATATAAATGGTAATATGTGATATTAGATGAATAAATTGTGATGTTTGGCTTCAAACCATGTAAAGTTAGACTGAATAAATCACAGTTTAATCTATATAATGGATTTATTCTATGCTGTTTCTGAGGTTTCATTTATTTATAAACCCCAAGGCTTGGTCTATGATAATATTTAAGGAAAAAACAAGTGCTTGAGTCTGTCAGTGGTATTAACAATATATGTAAAACAACATTGTCAGTTAGAGTATACTAGTATAGGTTCTGAAACATATTATAGACAATATTAACAATTCACTAATGAATTTTGACAGGAGGAACAAACAGGAAGTAACATATGGCTAACATGTGGTAAGATATAACTAGTGATGTTGTCTAACTGTAGTCTGATTGTAAACAAGCTAGGTCTTCAGTTGTTCTCATTTAAAAAAAAGTTTTCTAAAAGCATATTCACTTGAGTTGCCCATTGTTATGACATGCCAATTGCTTATGGTTACAGAGAAGAGTATTTTGTTCAGTAGGAACCAAAAGACTGGGTAATGTTTTGTTATAAAGCCTTTTGCTAGGAACTAAAATCTTTTTAAGGTTTACGAACCAAAGCCTCACTGTTTGTATTTCTATGAGTATTTTGCAGTTATTTTTGATAATAATAAAGTTCATTGCAATTTTAGACAAAACTGCCTCAAAACACAAATTAATTAGCGTATCCAGGACAACAATATTTATTATTATAATACAATAATGAGGGTATAAATGGTTTAAATGAGGAAGTTTGTCCTAAAGAAAGGTTAACTTAATTAACCTTTAAAGAATTGTCATTGTTCAACAAACAAACAATGCAATGTATTGTACATGTACACATTAAAACAAAGCATTTTCAATGAATCGGTCCAGGAAACTTAACATAATAAACAAACAAAATCCCCCAAAAAAATAAGGTAGAATTTTTTAATAAATTTATGTTATTAACAATGTGAACTCTGACCCCCACTTTCAAATTTGTTATTATATAATGTAGAGAAAGAAATTGCCTGTGGGTCTCCCTTGACAATTCTGTGATCCCTACTGTGCCCCCCCTACTCTAGAATTCCTACTAACACCACTGTATTATTGAAGGGTGAGCATATCTCTTAAGTGAGACACAAGATGTCTCCAAGAATCAAATATCCACAACCCCTAAGAACACGACCTGTGCTTTCGTAACTTCAATTATATGTTGTTGTTACAACCACTCTTACCTACAAACAATGCAACATATCTGAATCTGAATCTGAATCTGAAGTTCATAGATACATAAATCAATTATAAATACAACTGTATCTGTAGAATAAGACAACTTCTAATTGCTTTTTTTCTATAAGACACTGCTAAATAGAACCACAAATTTATATATTTTGCTCACGTAATCTTTATATATTTTCAGGAATGATTTTAATATGGATGTATTGAAGGCGTTTGTTAATCTTCATGAGTTCCGTGGTATGATATTGGTGCAGGCCTTGAGGTAACTTTAGTTTAATATCAATCAGTGTTATATACAATGGTTCCTTATATTCTTATACATTATAAAAATTGGATTAGACATCTTTCAAAACTTGCATATTCTGTACCTTCATTATCAAGCTTTAGGTGTAAATTAGCTACTAGCTCTGAATAAATATGGATCCCTGGACACAGTGTTGCCCGTCCAAGGTTTGCCCAAATAGATGCAGAACAGTTGGACGTATATCAAGGCAGTTTTGAATTAACCTGGAAACATCTTCTTACAATAAATGAGATGTTGAATTTGACATCCATCTCGTAAATATACATTGATATTTTTGATTTCAGACAATTTCTGTGGAGTTTCCGATTGCCTGGTGAAGCCCAGAAAATTGATAGAATGATGGAATGTTTTGCCCAGAGATATTGTGAATTGAACTCAGATGTTTTTACTAATACAGGTACAGTTTAAACTTGATAGAATTTTTAGGATTATTCACAATAAAAGTGTAGAAAAAGTAAGATCCAAATCTTTTGATTTGATACCAGTTGATTTACACAAGGCTCATCTATTTCCCCAATTCATCTGCACCACAGATTTTCTCTGATCTATCTAATTATCCATCATCCCATCAATGATCATTGTACGATTGCGTATTTACAAGGATAATCCACCTCCCAGCCCATCTACATTAGTATTTGGTAAGCCCTTATAAATTACAATAATTTAGCATTTCGATTCTTAATTTCACACGTAAAATGACTTACTGAATTTTTATATTTGTAGATACATGTTATGTATTATCATTTGCTATCATTATGTTAAATACAAGTTTACATAATCCCAGTGTGAAAGATAAACCAACAGCTGAGAGATTTATATCAATGAATAGAGGTATTAATGATGGTGGAGATTTACCTGAACAATTACTTGTGGTAAGTTACATAGATTTAATACTGACCTCAGATCTTCAGGTATTTCTTTAAAAGACCATGGCTGAATTCCACAAGAAATATTAAGATTAATTTTGTTGTAAGTATGGTGTTACATAGGGTAAGCAATTTCCTATAATAGGTTTTTGTGTGGAGTGTGCCGTAGATTATGGAGTCACTATTGAAAATACCATTGAACTAAATAGTAAGGTATCAGTCTGGTCAAGATTTCTTAGGTCACAGGAAGGATAGATTTTGGATAGGATATTGGAAAAGGGCTTAAAGAATTGTCTGAAACAGATATGCTGAAAAACTCTTTTGATACCAATAGCAACACATTGAAAGGAATTTTTTTTGAATTTTTAGTTCACAATCTGACTTTATTCATCTTTTAACTGTTGTATTTTGTAGAATTTGTATGAAAGTATTAAAAATGAACCGTTTAAAATACCAGAAGATGATGGTAATGATTTGATGCACACTTTCTTTAATCCTGTTAAAGAAGGATGGCTGTGGAAACAAGGTTAGTACAATAGTTTAATTCTTTCTTTATTGTTGATATTTCTTTCTAAGTCTGATATCTTCTACTGTGGCTAGATTAATGTTACTGATAAACTTTTCTTGCTGTCATTTTCTCTTCTTCTTTGCATAAATTTTTTATAAGTGTTTCATTCATAATATACAGCCAGGAGTTTGAAAATAGATTTATTCTGATGGGGCAAAATCTAATTAGTTCACTTTGTTACTCTTGTTTGACCTTTTTTCACCTTGTTAAAATTGTCCTTTTACCTGAGATTTTTTGATAAACAAAACTAAACCCCCTAGTGCATAGAAGGTTGGTTGTCACTAATGTTGTATCAAAAAGAACCATGATTTCTTGCAAAAGAATTGGTCAATTTTTGACGGTTTCTGTGAAGCTGCAGAGTGCAAGCAGAACTTTCATGATAGCATGTTTGCTGTCAAAGAATATTGCTTTTAACATATAGAAACAAGTCCACCATCTATAGGTTGAGTTTGATATCCCCCTAATCAAGTTAAGGTAATGAGTAGAATATATGATTATTATTATTTCTCTGATTAGGCGTTGTTAAATTAAGTAAGTTATATCTCCACTGGTAAATTGTCCTGTTTACTATTTACATTGTTTTTATTTTGTAACTCTGTTGTACAGTATTGGCTTCTGCTGTTTTGGGTTCTGTAGGAAATAGGTTCCATTTCTGTTTCAATATATTATACATTAACAATCTCCCATTCTATCATTCATTAGTTATCGTTAATATTCAGTTGTTGATGGGTTTTTTCGTTGTTTTAATTTGTTCAAATTACCCTTAGATAATACAAAATTTGGTTTATTTTTATTTTTTATGGTCAGTGATATTTTTTATTGATTATTATATAATAATGTGATATAATGATCATAGATTTTAGTTTTTGTATTAAAGTTTTCAGTATATTTTGTCTACTTGTAAAGTCTTTATAAGGTGGTTATATAAAAGGGGCACCTGCTCTAAGGTATTGATATCAATGACAATGTGTTTAATCTATTACAGGAGGGCGATATAAAAACTGGAAAAGAAGATGGTTTATATTAAATGATAACTGTTTATATTACTTTCAATATACTACGGTAAGTTGTCTCCCTTTTCTGATTTGATTTATTATGAAAGCTTGAATCGATCAGAGGCTTTTATACCATTATTTGATGTACTGACCATTCTGAATATTCGAGAGATGTGCGTGATTTTCACAATTCTCAGTTACTGCAATGACTTACAAAAATGTCATAGGCCAAAATTTGAGTGAGTTTGATTTTCAACATTTTGTGTCTGTTAGAGTTATTGCCCCTCAATGAGATACAGATTTTACTATATTCTAATGTACAATATTGTAATTACAGGATAAAGAACCAAAAGGTATTATCCCATTGGAGAATATATGTGTAAGAGAGGTGTCACAAGAAAAAGCTCATAAACCCAATTGTTTTGAGTTATATTCTGGTGGTAATGATATTATTAAAGCTTGTAAAGTAGATGGTGATGGAAAAGTTGTTGAAGGTATGTATGGGTTATTCTATATTTACATTATGCTGGTATTTCAATGTTATTTGGATTATTTGAACTTTGCTGGTGTTATTTTTATATTAGATATGGATTTGTCAATGCTGAAAGTCCACAGTCAATTGCAATTTGTATAGATCAATCCAAAACATATTCCTAAGGATCCATTCTACCAGTTGGTCTTTGGCCAAACCTCTTTGCATTGATCTATCCCAGATTATCCATATCCATTTACATCTGGGTCGACTGGAATTATGAGCGAAGATGACTTAGCATATTGTGCTAAGAGCAAGTCTGCTTTAAGTCTTTTGAACCTAATTTTTAAATCAAGACACAGTGCTTGTCATGACTCAATTAATTCCAATGACTATTAATATTACAGGACGACACAATGTATATAGAATGTCAGCTGGTAATACTGCTGAAAAAGAAGAATGGATTAAATGTATCAAGTAAGTAACTTAGTCTCATGGCTTATATACTGATTGATATAAGACCGTACTGTCACTTCAAATTACTGCTGAATTCAAGCTGGTACAGTTCATCAACTAGTAACATTTCTCATGGCTTATATAAGTGTTTACCTTGCTCCAATTTCAAATTGTCTATTGAATTCAAACTGGTACAGCAAACCAACTAGTAACTTTTCTAATGGCTTATATAAGTGTTTACCTTGCTCCAATTTCAAATTGTCTATTGAATTCAAACTGGTACAGCAAACCAACTAGCATGATCTAGATGTTCAAAATGAGTACTCAAACTATATTTTGTTGAAGATCAGGGTCCAATTTTACAAGAAATCACAATCAAATTTGTTTGTATTGTATTTTTCAAACTTATATAAAATTTTTGAAGAAACGTAGACCTCTTATGTTTCTATAGGAATTTTGAATCCTGAATGTTGGACATCTTTACAAGCCCAAAAATGTTCACAATGAACTTAACAACCACATTTCATTTTAATCACCTGTAAATATCTATTTGCTGCTGACACACTGACTTGACTGCTTTGTGTTACTTGATATTTTCATATTTTTGAAAGTTTATATATGCTTATGTATTGATATACTGTTGTTTCATGTTTCAGATTAAGTATTAATGATAATCCATTCTATGATATGTTGGCAGCTAGACGTAAAAATGCTACTGGATCGGGTGAATAAATTATAATCAGGGAACAAAATATAGTTAGTCCATAGTCATACTTAGTTACTCACTTACTTAACTTGTCAAGAGTCATAATAATTTATCAGGTGTTATTCTGAGTTTAGTTTATATAGTCAACAATCTCATAGAAACTGAGGTATAAGAATTCAGAATCGATTTTATGTGACATTTGAAAACTTGAGAGTTCAGAATATGTCATTCTGTTCTTTTGGTTTTTTTTTTCATCTAAAATTCAGTTAATATTCAGATGTATAAAATTGGAGTTAATCTGAATAGATTCAAACTATAAATAATCCAAAAATTAAAATTAGAATAATTGGTATTGATTCTATTGAAGTCTGTGGTTATTTCCTAGAGAATTGAAGACATTATTAGCTTACATGTAGATATAATATTGTATAAGATGTAAATAGATATATTTTTATATTGTTATGTATATATTGTATATAAACACTATGTTATAATGTCTAGTTTGTAGGGCAGTTAATTTGAATGAAAGCTTTGAATGAAACCATTGGTCATAGTTTTACAACCAAATTTCAATATAGATATATAACAAGTTTGGGAATTAAAATTTTATGACCATTCTAAGAGGTAGCATTTATATTCCTGTAGATTGCTATTTTTTAAGTATTTTAAAAAGTCTATGCTATGTTAGTGGGTAGGTAAATAAAGATCTGTATACTGACATTATGGATTAGAATCGTTTCAGATGTTTTATTCAAATTAACTTGTTTATTTCCTATACCTTTGTAATATATGACATTCAATATTAAAGGAATACAAAAGAGGTTTTCCAACTCTATACTATTCAAACCACATAATTTTTTCAGTAGTGATGCCATAATCTGGTAAAAATGTTCCTGATTTTACAGAAACCACAGCTTTTGGAAGTGATTCAGATGATGCAGATGGAAGCTATAGGTGACCAAGTTACACACTTTAATACTAAATTTCCTCTTTTGTATTCTTTTAAGCTAGATATTGCTTGGTAGTTTTACCGTGAAGAGATTTTAGCAGTTGTAGGTTATTCAAACACAAGAAATGATTTTAGCTGTTGTAGTTATAAGCTGTCATTCTTCGACACAATTATTATTTTAGCTGTTGTAGTTATTAACTGTCATTCTTCGACACAATTATTATTTTAGCTGTTGTAGTTATTAACTGTTATTCTAGAACACAATTAGTATTTTAGCTGTTGTAGCTTATAATCTATTATTCTACAACACAATGATGATTTTAGCTGTTGTACTTAATGATAAGTTATGCTTGTCAATATTTATTTTTATATTAACAACAAAATACAGCCACAGTCAAGCTAAGATATCTGTTCACAACTGGGATTTATTCAAAACATGAACAAGAGCAGACTGTTCAATATTTAGATAGAATAAATAGTAATAGAAACTTATACTGTTTACGTTACTATTTAAACTACCTAGAAATAATGTAGACTGCTTGTGTTCATTGTCCAAAGATGTCTTTGTTTGACTGTACTTGTGTTAAATGGATCACACATTTTTTTTGCACACCCTTAGAACAGAAGAGACAACTCTTGTTTGTGTTTGAAACTGTTTTAGTGTTGAATGATGAAATGTAATGATAGGATTTAGAAGAGATTCTAGTTGTTTTACTGTGATGTCTTATTGTATTATTGTAATCTAGGCCCTTTGATCAAATCTTTTGTAATAAGTGGGATATTTGCACTGAAATTAAACGTTGGGAGGTTAGCCTATGTTTATTATTCTTTTCTATGTGTCTTTCATACTTCTTGGCATCTTCACAATGTCAAACTATTAACAACTTCATGATTTAACTTGACTGCAATAGCCGCTATTCTTCTATCACGGAAGGTTGTTACAGCAGCGATTTGAGATTAGCCCTGAAGACAGAAGATATGATATGTTTACAGTCTTTCTGTTGAGGACTCTGATTTGCTGTATTCTGTAGCGTAAAATTGCTGCATTCCATGATAAAAAGAAAGGTGGATATTGCAGTTAAGGTATAAGAGGAGATTTGTAATATCTTGACATTGTGAAGATGTCTTCTTGGATACTTCAGGATCTATTGTCAAAAACATCAGATTTCTTGAAACTAATATCTCAAGATCTTTATAACAAACAGAACCTGTTTTCCTGCTGCTTATTCTTACCATTTAAATTACTGTATCTTTTATCAAAATTTGTCTAAATTGTAATATACATCACAATGTTGGGTGTAACAACAGGAATCACTATTGTTGAAAGGTAAATATATTATGACAGTGCAAGTATAAGAAGATGCAAGTGTCTCTTTAAAACTCTTTCAAATCTCTTCACCTTATCTTGACTTGACTATCCTATTGTTTATCTGTTATTGTTTGTGTTTTATTGTAAATAGAGTATGAATATTGTTTCTATATAAACTACAATAATCATCTTTTATATCAAATTCATTATTAAAAATATTAAACTGAATAAAACACTGTGGTGCTCTTTGTTTTACTATCGTTGTATCAATCTTTATGGTATAACTGTGTTCAGAATTTTAGCTTTATAGCAATGATAGATTATTGCAAGAGGGGTGTTTTAAGTGTGAGTGTGGCTGAGCGGGAAGTGACCAATGGTCAATAAATCCATTAGCCGCAACTATCGAGTTGTCCTTGTAAATCTATTCTCTTTCCTCATCTATATTAAATTGGCCCCCAACCTGTTGTGCACATCATCCAGGTATTTATAACTAACAAATTTACTCTTGGTAAAGATCACTTGAAAAGGAGTTTGGACTCAATATATTTACTTTACAACATAAATGCTTGTGAATTTAGAAATGAAATGAGTTTCAAATCTTTTGCTGTTCATGAAGAGGAGATACAGAGTGGCAAAGTCTTGCCAGGGTAGATACCTGTAGCCTTTTCACTCAGGATTTTGGAAATGAAATGAGTTTCAAGTCCAACTGATCTCCTAATGAAGATAAGAAATCTTGCTGGGGTAGTGACAGTCTGCTCACTGGTGATTTTGGGAGAAATAAGGAGGAAAGAAAACGAGACAAGTAAATTATATACAATCATTTTATATATTAGTTAACCTGATGTATCCACATATAATCAACAATAGATTCATATAGTACCTTATTTATTTACAGGAGATATATATACTCATTGTTTATCAGACTAAATAACAATACAACAAACAAAACAAACAATTACATTGTACCCAATAACATATAGTATTATGCCTGACATAGATAAGGTCAAACATCTTGTGCTTATCTTGGATGATTCAAAACATAACATGAGCAGTCCATTTTATTTTTAGGTAGTTAAAGTAGTAATGAACACAATAAAATCTGGCTTGTATAGTTCCAATTACTATTTATTCTACCTAGAAATAAAATGAAATGTTCTTGTTTATATTTTGAATCATTGCTGGATGTACACAAATATTTTTGCCTGACTACACATATAGTAGTAAGTGAGGAGTAACAGCACATTAAAGGAGAAGTTTGTGGATAGCACATGAAAGGGGGGAGCACATAATAACACATATCCCAGTAAATACTTCTGTTGATGTGCACCAAGTTGTAGAAAAAAGTAAAAATAAATCTCACTACAACACAGTATCATAATTTCACAAAAACTTTAGATACTTATAGTAAATGTTCATCTGATTGGTCAAAGTTTTTTTTTTGTTTTTTTTTTTAACCAATAAGAGAACAGCCCTATTGTAAATTGTTAAGACTTTGTGAAATTCAATAGAAACATTTAGTGGGTTTATGCAAATTATATACTGATATTTCTTTGATATACCAAAGGTTTTTTTCATGTGAAATTATTACTTTCTTATACACTTATACAATCCTCTACAAACATTTAGACAGACTGAACACATAGCTATATTTTTTCATTTTTTTACAAAAAATAAACCAAAAATAAAATATCCCCACTGGGAAAATTAAAGCCAATAATAATCTGATATTTTGATACAAAATAAACAGATTTTAAAGATTTAATTGATCAAATGTGATCAAAATCTAATTTTCTGCTAAAAATTTCACATAATTTGAATTTTGACCTACAGGAAATAATGAAATGTGTCCATTCTCTTTCTTAAAGAAATCTTTAGAAATTGTTTTAAGTCGTTTCTTAAATAAAGGAATATAAAATAAAGACTAAATAAGAAAGACTAAAGTAAACTATAAAAATTTGGTGTATAGAGGTACATCAGAAAACTTATATAAAATAATGTAAAGAAAAATTTCTATATTGCAAGTATTGTAAGAAATTTCTCTGTTTCACCCCCAATGAAACAATTTTGTTTAGACCTACAAAGACTTCAATCTTTTTCCTCAGAACAGTTCTCAAATTTTACCCCCATTTCATATCAGAAATCTATAGTTGTGCTATGAAAAAATATTTTCAAAATAGCTCCGAGTAAGTGGCCTCCATAAGAGTTTTCATATGCATCAAGCAGACTGCTTGAAAATGATATGTAAGAATAACAGTCTTATCTTAATCCATAATCAGTCAAAGATATTTAAGTGCAAGTGGAATTGGTTTCACAGCATAAACAAAAACAGTCTACTCTATATCAAGATAGAATAAGTACATAGGTACATACATTTAATTATTGTTATTCTACATTGAATACATCTTCATAATGTCAAGTTGTTACGAACTACGTCTTTATAAGAATAAGTCTGGAAGACGAAGTTCGTAATAGCTTGATATTGTGAAGATGAGTTGAAGACAGTAAATTGTTTTTGTTTATGCCTAGAAAAACTCCAGAATAAATATCTTTGTCAGACTGTGAGGTGTATTGTCCTTAATTAAGAGATAAAATAGTGTTCAATTTAAGACTCCTGCATAATCATTTGCCAGTCAAGCATTTTGCATATTAAAAATAGAAGCCGATAAAGGCTGTGCTGGAAATAATTAAGTCAAGCATTCAAGATAAATAAAATGCATCTTATATAATGGATTTCTTTCTTTCTTTTTTTTTTATATCCATTTTTTCTT